TCTATATTTTCGAATGAAGAAACTTTTTCTTGCTGGACTTTATTGCTGTAACTTAACCGTGTTACTTTCTACCGGGTGTCGGACGCTGTCGGTTAGATCACAACACTAGAGTCAGAGCACTATAATTGTTCTTCACGCACACAGTAACTGAAATTTAAAACCTTTAAAAGAAAAGGCTCAATAAACTATTGCATAGATAGATAATGTATAATACACTGTTCATAAATATGTATTTCCTTTGTGCTTTGAACTTTTCAATACGGACTCACTGCGCTGTAACTTCATGTGGCTTCAAGCACATCATTCTCCGCTCGGGATGCACATAAGTGCTTTGTGCTGCACCGTATTGGAGCCGTAATATCATAATGCAGTGATGTAATGACAGATTATTAATTGCCTTTCAATTATATGTTGCTGCGTCATTAAACATCTGTCCTATGCATTTCAAACATTTATAGCAGCCATGGCTATATTTTTGTATGATTTTTGTTATCTTGTTTTTCATGAATGTATTTTTCAAAAATAAGAGCAATGTGTATTATCTATTATTAATATGGTTTATAATAGCATTTTTGTCATAGATTATGACAAAGTAATCATATGATCCACCAGCGAGGAACCAGCAGAACAGAGTGAACATTCATTCTGTTTAGTTCAATCCTACTTAATAGGAATTTATTTAAAATGCTCGCTCTACTCCACACCATTAATGTCTTGTGCGGACATCCGTATTTCGACTTTCGGTTTTAAGTAAGCGATTTAAAAGCTCCCAAGTCCCAGCGGAGTCACACGTTGATTAACCGGTGGGAATATACACAATAGGCCTACCTGATATTGAACACAAGAGGGCAGTATAGCACTACGTATGACTCAGATTATTATTTTTTTATGAATTTTACAACAATTCTGGCTGTTTTTGAACGTAAACATAATTCTTAAATGAAAAAAAGGAAAAATTGGGGAAGTTATAATATTTGTATAATTTAATTTAGAAACAAATGATGTATAATTACATTTTTAGAAGATATGAGGCTTTTAGTGTTTACTTTTTTGACATTACTTTAATCTTTTGCCATAGTTGCACATGTCTACTGGCTAATAAATGTGATGTATCTGTTGAGTTTCAAGCAATTTCAAGCATGCTAAGAGTCCCAAAAGCATCAAAAAAGAATGTTAAAGTTTGATTCGTTGCCACGGCAACAGTATCAAAGATATCAAAAATTCATTCACAGGTCTACATCTGCCGTGTATTTACATTATACAGATGAAGTTTGAAGCAAATCGGTTAAAAATAAGAGAGTGGTTTCAAAGCATTTTGAAAGTGACACACTTCCTGCTGCCAGTTGGTGGCGCTATAACTTTGACTCACAATAGTCACATCCATGTGATCGGTCTCTTACAGCGAACACACTGCTGAAGTTTCATCAAGATCAGTTAATGTATGCTGAAGTTATAACACACATCCTGTTTCGTGTTTCTCGCCATAATTTCGTTTCCTCGCCACGGCCAAACCGTTCGAGATATCAAAAATCCCTTGGCACTTTTTCATCCTTAATGTCTTGACTTCACGCTGATCGAGTTTCGTCGAATTTGGTTCAGTGCTCTAGGAGCAATACTTTACATTCCATTGCATGTGTTTTAAACACAACCCTAAATAGCCGACTTCCTGTTGGGCTGGGGTAAAAAGTAAGAGTGTGAAGTATATATGAAACGATGAGATCTATATGTGTACCAAGTTTCATATTATTACATGCAAGTGTGTTTGATTTATGGACCAAATTTTCAGATCAAGTTTATGGACCAAGTTAATTTAATTAATAAACTAATTATATAAAACTATTGTCAATGCACTACAATTAAACTGGTTATATGCCTTTACTTATAAAAAATTAAAATAAAAAACTTATTTAAAACATACCAGGCTTAAGAAATGTATTTTCTTTTTCTGCAGGCGAGACACACAGCAGTGAAATGGTTAAGCCCCCTCCCCCTACAAACACACACACAGAGGCACAGACAGGCAAACACACAGACAGAAACAGAGATGTAGGCTCAAAGACAGCAGGACCACATTCAAACAAACATATCTGACTTTCTGTGGGTCCTTGCTAATGAGTGTCAATTAGAAAGTTGTCCGGCTCGAGGAGTACAATATACATACTGATTTTTGTAACTGTAGATAAAACTAACAACCCCACTTTTGTCAAAAGGTGGCGCTACTGAGCCCTCACCACGCCCGTTTCTGAAACTTTGCACATGTCTACTGGCTAATAAATGTGATGTGTCTGTCGAGTTTCATGCAATTTGAAGCATGCTAAGGGTCTCAAAAGCATCCTAAAAGAATGGTAAAGTTTGATGCGTCGCCACGGCAACAGTTTCAAAGATATCAAGAATCCATTCACAGGTCTACATCTGCCGTATGTTTACATTATTCAGATGAAGTTTGAAGCAAATCGGGTAAAAATAAAAGGGTGATATCAAAGCATTTTGAAAGTGACACACTTCCTGCTGCCAGTTGGTGGCGCTATAACTTTGACTCACAATAGTCACATCCATGTGATCGGTCTCTTACAGCGAACACACTGCTGAAGTTTCATCAAGATCAGTTAATGTATGCTGAAGTTATAACACACATCCTGTTTCGTGTTTCTCGCCATAATTTCGTTTCCTCGCCACGGCCAAACCGTTCGAGATATCAAAAATCCCTTGACACTTTTTCATCCTTAATGTCTTGACTTCATGCTGATCGAGTTTCGTCGAATTTGGTTCAGTGCTCTAGGAGCAATACTTTACATTCCATTGCATGTGTTTTAAACACAACCCTAAATAGCCGACTTCCTGTTGGGCTGTGGTAAAAAGTAAGAGTGTGAAGTATATATGAAACGATGAGATCTATATGTGTACCAAGTTTCATATTATTACATGCAAGTGTGTTTGATTTATGGACCAAATTTTCAGACCAAGTTTATTGACCAAGTTAATCTGATTAATAAACTAATTATATAAACTATTGTCAATGCACTACAATTAAACTAGTTATATGTCTTTACTTATAAAAAATAAAAATAAAAACTTATTTAAAAAATACCAGGCTTGAGAAATGTATTTTCTTTATGCAGGCCATACACACAGCAGTGAAATGGTTAAGCCCCCTCCCCCTGCACACTCACACACACACAGACAGGCAAAGACAGAGATGTAGGCTCAGATTAAGCAAGACCACATTCAAACAAACACATCTGACTTTCTGTGGGTCCTAGCTAATAAGTTTAAATTAGAAAGTTGTCCGGCTCGAGGAGTACAATATACATACCAATTTTTGTAACTCTAGTTAAAACTAACAACCCCACTTTTGTCAAAAGGTGGCGCTACTGAGCCCTCACCACGCCCGTTTCTGAAACTTTGCACATGTCTACTGGCTAATAAATGTGATGTGTCTGTCGTTTCATGCATTTTGAAGCATGCTAAGGGTCTCAAAAGCATCCTAAAAGCATCCTAAAAGAAGGGTAAAGTTTGATGCGTCGCCACGGCAACAGTTTCAAAGATATCAAGAATCCATTCATAGGTCTACATCTGCCGTATGTTTACATTATACAGATGAAGTTTGAAGCAAATCGGGTAAAAATAAAAGGGTGATATCAAAGCATTTTGAAAGTGACACACTTCCTGCTGCCAGTTGGTGGCGCTATAACTTTGACTCACAATAGTCACATCCATGTGATCGTCCTCTTACAGCGAACACACTGCTGAAGTTTCATCAAGATCAGTTAATGTATGCTAAAGTTATAACACACTTCCTGTTTCACGTTTCTCGCCATGATTTCGTTTCCTCGCCACGGACAAACCGTTCGAGATATAAAAAATCCCCTCTCAAACTTTCATCCTCAATGTCTTGACTTCACGCTGACCGAGTTTCGTCGAATTTGGATCAAAGCTCTAGGAGGAGTATTTGACATTCCATTGCGAGCGTTTTACAAACAAACCTCAATAGCCGACTTCCTGTTGGGCTGGGGTAAAAAGTAAGAGTGTGAGGTATAGATGAAACGATGAGATCAACATGTGTACCGAGTTTCATATTATTACATACAAGCGTGTTTGAGTTATGGACCAAGTGTTCGGACCCCGTTCCAGGGGGCGCTGACGAGCCGCCCTACCACGCCCGGGTACCAGCTTCAGCCCGGCTCTGATGGCCGCGGGTTCTGACCCGTGTGCAAAGTTTCAAGAGTTTTCGAGCACGTTAAGGGCCCCAAAAGTGCCCAAAAGGTAGTAAAATAATAATTATTATAATAATAGTGAAGAAAAATAATCCCAAGGAAAACAATAGGGCCTTCGCCCTTTCAGGGCTTGGGCCCTAATTATATAAAAACTTTGTCAACAAAATGAACCAAGAATTTTGAGCCTGGCTTTATCCAGATTTCTGTTCTAGAAATGTATTTAAATGACTGCATTCTTAATTAAATGCCTCGTTTGAATATATATAAAAAAATGGCATTTCATAAAAAAAACTTAAATGTTCTTTAAATTACTGGGGAACGGTGATATAGGCTAGGCCTAGTCTGAATATGGTATGGTTGTCTTTTTCTCGATGATATACCTCACCCACACTACACACACTTTGATACAGCATTCAAAAGGTGTAGGCTAATGCTAATGTTGACCCTGGATGTTATCAGCACCGCACAGAGTGAAAGAAAACACACGAGAGAATAGCATCATTGATACGTGAACCTTAAAACCTTCATAGACGTTCCTTAAAGTCTGAGCATTCCTGCCAACACCCACGTTTGAAGTCTGTGGAATCCAAATAGGACTCGGAAATATGAGTCATAATGCCTAAAAGGACTTTAATGCAACGCAAAGTACAGCCCTTCAGTTTCGCCTCTGCCGGCCCGCGTTGCCATGTCAATATTTAAAAACACATTAGCACTAGCAAGTTCTCTTCAACGTTTCTCTTTTTTATTTCCCGCTTCCTCATTTTCCATCTTTTGACATGTTCCTTCACTTGGTTACTGTAAAAGCACTGGTGGTTTTAAATCGCTGTGAGGATCAGTGTTTGTCGACTCAGTCTCACACACCCTCTGCTCTCTTCACTCAGCCACGCTCAAACCCGTCTAGCAACACAAATTTGGCCACATTTCTTTCTCACCCTGACACAACAGCACTACAGGTCTAAAGTATGGGGCTGACACATCCTGGATTAATCGAGGGACAGACATAGCTAATAGTTCATTATTAGTGTGAATTCTCCTGTTATCCCAGAGCTCACCGAAGAAGGAGTCGAGGGATTGTTCTGCTTTCCAATGGTAAGTTACTTTTTATCTGTATCTCATTCACCCAGAGTACTGTGTTAATGTCACTGCACTTAATTAGAATCTGTGCATGTCGTTTTGTAATGATCAGCTGTCAACATTATTTCCTGCAGTGAAGTCTGTATGTTCCAGTATCAGTGCATGTTCTCGAGACTGATAATAGTTGGAAGCTACTTTCCCAATCATGTACCAAAAGGAGAGTTTTGTTTTGCTTTATGCTTTGCTTTATTTATAAAACATAATTTTTTTTAAAATATGTTAGGATGTAAGCAAAAGATTCAAATGTAATTAATATCTCATAATTGTTTGTATATTAATCTCACTAAAGGCCTGTGTGTGTTTATGTATAAACATGTGTGTATATTGTAAATATATAAACTGTACACATATGTGGTGCACATGTGTACATTTTAGTTTAATGTGTACATTTTAGAATTCATAATTGTTCAGCAGTCTGAACACTCTGTGTAACCTGAATGTTTTCATGAGTGGTTCGTAAGCATTCTTCTTGACATAAGAGGCGTTGTAGTTCCACAGAGGCACAGCAGATGAAAACACACGCTCATGTCTTTGTCATTAGCTGTTGGTGTGGCAGACTAGTTGTATAATAAAATAAATTGTTAGTTGATCAGTCATCACAGAAACATCAAATCTGCTTTAGCTATATGTCATTAGTATTTTGCAACAACCACAAAACCGAGATTGCAGTTTGCACATAGATGTATGTTTTCCTGTTTTACGAGTTAATGTTTCCCCTATTTTAGTATGTCTTCTTCTGTGTAGGTTTGGGGTTAGTGCAGCGTTCCCCTGCAAAATACGCTCGCTTCCTGTAGCAGTGCTGTGCAAAAGAGCTATCTCCTGCTCTGAGTGAATACTTTTAGCATAGCTGTTATCCAGGTAGTAATGGGGGAACTAATCATAATTTAACTTAATATTCAAATTTATAACAAAATACTGTCTTTTGACAAGCAATTAGCTGCTCCACAAATTACAAACCAAAAGTAAAAACGACTGCAAAAAACAAAGAGAGCTGTATCTTTTTAACATATATAAGAATGATTCTATTAATGATTCATTGGTTCATTCATATGAATCACGAGTCTGCTTTTTTGTCCATATAAGGGTAGCCTAACCAACAAAATATCCTTAAAAATAGCATCTTTTGTGTTTCACAGAAGAAAGTCACACAGGTTTGGAACAACATGAGGGTGAGCAAATGATGACAGAATTGAATGGCAGTAATTTTACGTCATCCTGAAAATCAGTGCTTTTAAACATGACAAAGATGCGATATTAGCCTCCGGTTTCACAGAAATGGTTTAAAGGGATGGTAAAATGCCATTTTCACAAAATGTAAAATAAATATTTGACGTCCCCAATGTGTGTGTGTGTGAAGTTTTAGCACAAAATATCCCACATATGTTTTTATATAGCATGTTGAAGTTTTTTGAGGGTTTGCAAACGCACCGTTTTGTGCCTGGCCCTTTAAATGCAAATGAGCTGTTGCAGAGGGCGGGGATTCAAGAGCTCATGTGTTAGCAGCTGATGCACTAAAATGACAGAAACTGTTCTCCCTTTAATGTTAAAACCATAGACTGTAAAAAGTATGGACAAAACATCTGTGACTTTCTGAAGAACAGTTTTGAGGCTGTTTATGGGGGGTATGGGTGGCACCATATTGGAAAATCTTGAGAAATACAAAATACAAATGTTCTGAAAGGATACAGAGGTGGCATGATGTGTTGTGTCAGATCATGGCCGAGACGTCAAATTCCGGTCGGCGCACCCCGTTATCAGCTGTCAATCAAAGTTAACCGCCCATATTTGTCATACATTTTATATCTAAATACGATCTAATCTAACGAGTTAAACTAAGACTAAAGGCCATTGCACACTGAGTCCAAAATTCGCATCGGAAATTTTCGCACGTTGAAAAAAAATTCGACCTCACGTTATGTCAATCACGCTTACACACCGCCTCCGAAACTTTCGTCCGTCATAAAAAATTCGGATCGGGTTCGATTTTCCACTTTCTTCTCGAGAGGAAAACAAAATCATCCTCACTGCTTGACGAATCCATTTAGTATTTTTGCGTTTTTTCCCTGCAAAGGTTTAATAAATACGCATCGGACTCAGTGTGCAAGGTTTCTGTGCTTGACGAATTTTTAGGCTGACGAACACGAAAAAACACATACGAAAATTTTGTACTCAGTGTGCAATGGCCTTAAAGACTAAAAAATCACCCCCCTCACAGTTGTCAGGCACTCAGAACCGAAAATCGAAAAATACAATAAAAGTCCATGGGACCAAACTGTAAAAGCATGAATTTATGCTGTGAAAAAAGACATTTTAACATGGGATCTATGGATATTTGCTCCCTTTTGGGACCTCCCTCTAGCGGATTTTAGATGTATTGCAGTTTTTCGCACTTCCGGGTACGCTTCGATTTTTCAGATTAGAATGTTGCTGCTTGGTTAAAATGGAGTCAGTCAAAGATAGAGAGACTCTGAATGGTTAGTTGAGGAATTTTAGTTGCTGATGTGGAGTTAGGATATTCTGTCATGTAATCTATAAATCGCTCATATAGACGAATCCGGCGAAACTACCGGAAGTAAGCGGGCGCCATTACTGAGCTGTTGCTGGGTAGCGTTGCGCCATTGCCTCCTATTGTTTTAGTTGCAACTTGCGTCCACTGGAATAAACAGCCCGCGATTTACGACTGTCACTAACGTTACCCCTTGTATAATGTCGAGTGGGTAAACAGTTTCGTTATAAATTGTTTCAATGCTGGCAGTAAAATTTCAATTTTGAAGAGAAAACATTGTGAATACCCCGGGTCGACTGCCCCTGTCTGGTGCCGTACGGTTTACACAGATTTCCTGGGCGAGTGGACATTCGCGTATAATAACAATTATTAAATGACATGAGTAAAAAAAAATATAATAAATATGTGATAAAGTGATCAGCAAAATCTCCTCTCTTGCTATTTTTTCTATTCAATTAACATGCTATGGTCATTAAATGGCTTTCCTGAGCTAAATGTAACGTTATGTGACATAATTGTTTTCCTGCTGTTATATTGACTTCTTTCCATGGTTTAAAAACACTAATTGGTCGATACTATGTATACTTTCTAGCTGTAATGTTACCTTACCCTTGCCTGTTGCAATGTGAAAATGAGATAAATAATGGACACAAATGAAAAACATGAATTTGTTTATTTGATTTCATTCATTTATTTATTTTAGACAGATCTTTTTATAGTTTCCTCGTTAGCAAAAGTTAGCCTAGCTAGCTTGCCAAGCTATTTTCATAAATAACGTTAATCTGTAAGATCGTTTGTACCTTCATCTGTGACTGGAGGCCACTGCAGTCACAGATCAAACCAACAAGTAATTCTGCCTGGCTTTAGCTGTCATCGAGGGTGAGTTCGCGTTATCACCGAGGTTTGTTTACATACCGATACCGGTGCATATGTCTATATGCCTGTGTAACAGCTCAGTAATGGCGTCGCCACAAGATGGCAGCCTACACAGAACGCTCGTTGGATTCGTCTATTGGAACTGTTGTGAGATGCACACAGAGCGACTTTTTATTGCATGTTAAAAAAATGGATGCTAAAGTTTGAGCTGACTCACAAATGTAATCTTATACAACCACTCTTCCTCTTCTCAACATGGACTGCGTGTTCCCGGGGGCGGGGTTTATGGGGGGTTTATGTTCATTTTGGGGTTGGTGATGTCACTAACCCAGGAGGAATGTTGTGTAGTCACTTCCAGCTGTTTGTTGTAGTCCTTGTCTTTAAAAGCAAATATCATCCTTTGCTTTGAACTTTGAGTGTTGTAACTTTCATAATGTTGTACATGCTCAAACAGCAACATTACACACTAACTAAAGTTAGAAAAGTGATATCATACTTCACCACCCCTTTAAGACTAGTCTAGACTAAAGCTTTTTTCCCTGGCATATCTTCAAATACCTCACTGCCAGTGTTTTGTCTCAAGATGCACATCAATAACGTTTTTTTTTTCCTAAGGCACGTTTATAAAAGCTACTTCATGTCCTAATTAAACTAAGGCCTAATCCTGGCTCTAGGGCCTATGTTTGTTAACTGCATTTGCAGTAAATTTATCATTATTTGTTCCTGTCCTGTTTTCTGTGATCATTTATCCACAGGGGAACTCATGGGCCATATTTGAGCCCCAGTCCAGCCCTGAGTATCACTGCTATTATCTACCCATTCTTCTTCTCTCTCTTTCTTCATACCTGCATCTTTTTATCACTTGTTGTCTGCTCTCAAATAGAATGTATTTGACATAATCTTCAGTGTAAATATTCAGTTTGAGGCTCTGCTGTCAGGTTTCTCTCATCTCTCACTGACACACCTGTCGTTCCCCTGGTTTATCTGCATTCCTCTGCTTCACACATATTTTGTTCCACCCCATCACAAAAGCCCTAGTTGCCATAAACAAACCCTCTGTAATGCTCTAAAAGAAGCCTTATTTGTTTTTTGTTGTTTATTTACACTACCTATACATATTCTCTTTGGCTAATAATTATTTTTAAGGATTTTACATTTTAATGATGCTTTAGGGTGTTCTGGGTGGTTGCTAGGTTGTTACTTACTGTCCCACGATAAAAGAGTACCTACATTTTTGGCTTTTTGTTTTGCATTCTTTATATAATCTTGTCCCAAGTTAATCTGTATGTAAAGTTTTGTTTTGTATTTTGTAATATTCTTGACCCTATTAGGTCTGTACTTCAAAATGTTGTTTTTGTTTTGTTTTGTATTTTAATATATATATATATATATAGGGCTGTCAAAATAAAAGTTTGTGCTTACATAATATATGTGGGTGCACTGTGTATAATTATTTTGTATATATATATATATATATATATATATATATATATAAATACACACACATGAATGTATATTTAAGAAAAAAATATTATTTATATAATATAATATATATATATATATATATATATATATATATTTGTATATAATATCAATTATATATATATCTATATACAGTATAAACATGAAAATATTTCTTAAATATATACAAGCATGTGTGTGTATTTATATATATATATATATATATATATATATATATATATATATATATATATGTATATATAATTATACACAGTGCACCCACATATATTATGTAAACACAAACTTTTATTTTGGATGCGATTAATCATTTGACAGCCCTAATATATTATGTAATATATATATATATATATATATATATATATATATATATTACATAATATATTATTTTTATATATAAATATATATATATATAGGTTTTTTTTGTTTTGATTTGTATTTATGTTCCTTGTAATTCTTTTGCGTTTTTTTTAATTGTATTATTATTTCTTATATTTTTGTTCCTGATAAAGCTATTTGCAAAGTTTTGTTTTGTTTAGATTTTTTTATATTCTTGTTCATAGTAAAGTTTTGCTTTGTTTTTTTTCCGCTTTTATATATATAATTATATATATATATATATATATATATATATATATATATTCTTGTTCCTAGTAAAACTGTAATTAAAACTGTAATATTGTTTTGCTTTTTTATTTTTATTTTTTTGTTTTGATTTTTTTTTTTTATATTGTCCTAAGTAAATGTTTGAGCTTCAGATCTGAATTATTTCAAACAAATTATTGATTTTTTTCTCCTTTATCTTTAGATCTCATGATGGCTATATATGAGCTTTGATTTCCTGTTTGCACCGAACACCAGCCACAGGTTTGGGATCAGCAGACGTGGGCCACTATGTCACTTTCACAGCAGGTTCTGGTGAAATTTGAATACAATTACACCACTCGAGATGGCAGAGAGGTGTCCATCAAACCCAACGAGCACTACACCCTGGTAGCCAAGACCAATGAAGCCTGGTGGCACGTTCGGAGGCACGAGACGGACAAGCCTTTTTTCATTCCAGCTATGTATGTGACCGAGCTCCCACCTGAAACAAACCAAACTCCTCTGGACCCTCCAGAAGAGTTTGGTGGATTGAAACCAGTCAAGCCCAGCTCCGAGACAGCTCCTGATAGTCTTCCCACCAACATTAAACCTGCTGAGGTCACGCTTCGAGTCCCTGACTCCATAAAACAAGACTCGGAGAAAGACGGCCATAGAATATCAACATATATCATTCCAAAGGAATTCTTTGAACTGAAGGGTTTGGATCCAGACCCTTTAAAGGTTGAAGCAGAGGTTGTTCCTGTGCCTGAACTCCAGCTTTATGACAATGTTTCTTTCAACCCTGGTTCTCCATCTAATGGGCAAACACCACCCTCTATCTTATTGACACCTGCTTTTACAGATACCACCTCAGAATTGGAGATCAAATCAATTGAGAGTCCAAAGGAGTCAATAGAGAGTCCTCGGGTGAACTCAAATTCCTTAGACCAAGATATTCAAATGCTCATTAGAGCTGGCTGGAGTAAAGACATGTGGAACCTCATGGATACAGACACGAATGTGTATGAAAGTATAAATATGGTGAGAGAACCAGAATCCTCAAAACCTGATGAGAATATGACCATAAAGACACAGAGTTCGCCGGTCCTAAGCCCTGTTTCACCAGATAAGCCTCTGGTAAGTAATACTTCTTCATGTGCAAAGTAACACTGCATTAGCCTACATAAGACAGCAATTTCTGTATGTAGCAAAACAATTTTCTATTTTATTCCATCCTCCAAATATGTTTGTAACAACAGCAGTGTTGGTCATTGACAAAGGCTAGATATAGCCTATTCATTCATTACAAAAAGTCAACGAATTTAAGTGCTGACCCAGTATACACATCTCATAATGACATGGATTGCTTACAATCGGAGTGATTTAGCTGCTTTTCTTGAACACATGGGGGCGCTGTATACAAAGTAGCATCTGAGCCTACAAAAGCGAAACCAAAGGGAAGTGCTGGTGTCTCAGGTGTCAACATCTTTATCAAATGATGATGAAGCAACAATAAAACCTTAGCTGTCCTTAGAATGTGGTTTAGAAGTGAAAGCATTACATGAACAATTGATTAGAACTTTCTAACTTTCTTTTTTTATTTCTAAGGCTTCTAAATTACCAAAATGATCCACTTTGCTAAGAAAACTGTTTTACAAAATATAGTAGCACTACATGATCTGACTGATATTTAATCTGATTGAATCTTTGATCATAAAACAGCCTTTAAATATCATCTACTAACACTTTTTATTGGAACATGTAGAGTGGCAACTGATTTTTATATGCACTTTGTCTGTTATACTGTCATAAAAGTCTCATTGATTTACATTACAAGCTATCAGAATTTCATCTTCACTTTTGGAGATACAAAGTCTGCACTAATTGCATTTTTTTACCCTGTAGTTTTTACTGTTTGAGTGTGAGCTCTATTCACCCATATGGGTTATAAAAGCCTGATAAAACACAAAGCACGGGTAAAAAATAGGCTATTTAAAAAATAAATGAATATAGGCTGTATTTAAAAAAAAAACTTATGTCTAAAGGTTCAGTAAATTGTTCATTTTTAAAAAAAAAACTACTTATGACTAGTATTTTTATTTATTTATTTTTTATTTTTTTTACGGTAGGCCTTTTTAACTGGTGGTCTGTCTCTGACTCATATAGGCTAGCCTACTGTTGATTTTGCTGAGATTTAATTTTAGAAAATAACGCGGTAATAAACGCTTATCAAGCTCTACCTCCTTATCTTAAAAAAAAAAACATATGTAACTAAACGTACGTTATGTAAACATATGATACATTTAAAATAGCTTCTGTTTCGACTTCCCTTCCCGTGCAGATCCAGAGCAGAACTCTCGCGAACTTCACAACTTTCCTTATGTAATTTTAACATTGTGAAATTAAAAGTTGTTTTGAAAAAAAAAAAAAAACACAAAAATTGTGGATTCAAGAAACTCCTCGTATTATGCGTCCTAATATTGACACAAAATGCTGATATATAACGTTAGCTGTTAAATATTTCTGCGTTTAAAGCGCTGTACCCGGATTGTGTTTATTAGCAACGTTTCGACCCTCTTCAAATGCCCAGTCAGACTCAATTTCTGGAGTTTCCTGCCAAGTGATCTGCATGTCAATGGTTTGCTTGTCTGTTTGTGTGTATGGCCGCTGCCCCTCACCGGCACCGAACCGGCTTCTCCATCCGTTTCATCTTCCACACCGGTAAACAAGACGCGACGCGGTGCGTATGGAAAACTTTTATATGTCTAGTAGAGTAGGTACTGAGTGTATCATTAATTACCTAGTTATAAGGGAGTCGAAACGTGAAGTGTGGTCTCGAAGTAACGTTATAAGCTCAATTTGACTGTGCAGGGGGAAGGGGTTTTTAACCATTCTATCAGTCAAATGAAGAGCACAACAGGTTAGGTGAGTTGCTGCCAAGTGCCCTTATGAGTATGAGTGACACTGTAGGGAGGTACCAAGCGTTTACTACAACCACTCCCACAAACACACCTGTTTCCCTGCGGAGTGACGGATAAAGCAAGTCAGCGTTAAAAGATGGATTCTAAACATCAGTTTTGCTGCCGGTTGGAATATCTTCTCAGCTTCTTGTAACGGGAAGGTTTCACCTGTGCAGACACATAAGGTATGACAGAATAATCCTTCGCTTCCGGTTGAGAGTGATGCGGTGGGGAATCTGAGGTGATTTGACGGACAACACTATCGCGAGTGTTAGGCTACAAAAACACTTTTCATGCATATGTTATTTTGAGATTTAAGGCATTTGACTTCTCATAAATTGTTGTTTCAAACTAGTGGAAAGAAAACACTCATACACTTTTAGGTGCTTTTATTGCACTTCATGTATTTGCAGATATCATTTAGCCTAATGCAAACCTTAAAAGGCCTTTTTCTCAAAATGTGTTATTTCCTGCAGTCAGAAATCTCCACTTTAGCAGCTTTACATACACAACACCTAACCGTTTTATTCCTATCCATATTCCGAGAGTTTATAAGGGGTTTGTTCATAAATAATTCGCCTGATTTTATAGTAGGCATACAACATTTTGACAAAATTCACCTAAACAATAATTTTTAATCTAGTGTTCAGATTTCTGTTCTGGAAATTGATGCAAAGTATTGTAGGAATATTTAATTATATGACGCCTCATTTGCATATAACATTTCTGAAAAGTTGTAATGCATTTATTTATTTATTTATTTATTTATTTTTTTGCAATTCTTAATGTAATCAATCATCTTGGGAAGTATGGTGATCTAGTACCATAGCTATTCACCTGTGTCTTTCCTTAAATGCATAAAAATGAATTATTTTATATTGATTTTATTATGTAATAGATAACATCGAAGTTAAATTAGCACAACCTTAGTTTTAGCGTATTGCTGTTTGATTGTTTTATTGTGACTGTGAGCGAAATAAGAAATTAACCAAAATTTTAAATAGGCCTAGATATTTATTTAAAGTAAGTAACACAGTGCAAAAAAGTGGCATGTTTTTATTTCACCTATGGATAATTTACCAAGAATTTGGCATTTTAAAATTTTAAAGTTTATTTTCATAATCTCAGACATTTTTGTTACTTATTGACCCAAATATCAAAATACCATCATATTACCATCTGATACCATCACTTTTTGCTAGGTATTACGTCACTCTTTTCCATTAGTGCAGTCAGTGTGTGATTAACATACTGTATAAAAAACATGAGCAGCAAAGATTTATGTTTTTGTCCGTTTACAATAAAAATGTCATCATAGAGTCAAGAGCTCCCAGTCTTGCTTTTAGGTAATTGATAACTGCATTAAATGCAATTCTCTGCATGTATCCCCGAAGTGTCCATTTCAGCAGGTTTGTAAGCATGTGCTGTCTTCTCTGTGGGTTTTAGTTTGGTCGGATAGCACAAAAACTCTGGAGGCCTGCCAGTGAAGTTTTGGTTTCCATAGTGATTGTGGTTTCAGCAGTGGCATGGTTGAGGTGCCATTCAGTCCAGCGGGCACAATGTGTAGCACTGGTGTGCAGTCCCGGATATGTAGGTCAGCTTATGCTAATGCTTCTCAAACAGCCCAGTGCACTGGAAGACCCCATCCTTGTGCATGTGCAGAGCTTCCTGCAGGAGTGTGACCAACATGGAGTAGATTAAGATTACAAGAGAGATGCAAGTCTGTATATGCCCAATTGAGTTTAGACAGAGAGATGTTGCTGTTGTCTATGAATCTTAACCCAAGTATTTGGCAGGTGTACCTCAGACTGGATTTGAGTCTGCCCTGGGTCATTCCCATCTCTGATCCAATACTCCAAGATATTGCAAAAGCTCTGTTCAAACTCAGCTCAGCGAGCATTGTAATATCAACAGTGTGTATACTACATTATTTTAAAGCTCCAGTCTGTAACGTTTTTGGGTTAAAAATTATCCAAAATAAATTGAGCAAGTATATAACCAGCCAGTGTTCAACACTATCTGCTTGCCTTTATCTCGATTCAAAACGGTAAGCCTTTTCTCACAGTATCGATTTGATGGCGGATCCAGAAAGGTTCAAATGACCATCACCAGTGACAACTAGAGATTCATCCGCTGTAAGATGCGAAAGACTTTGTACTGAGAGTTTGAAAAAAGAGACTTCAACCGGGGACCTATGCGAAAACAAGGATAGATATTTGAAGGGTTTTAAATGTAGTCACGCAATGCTGATGTTGTTAACATTAACAATTTGAGAACTAAGTACAATTTGCACGGTTTGACGTGATATGATAAGCGATCGTTTGAGGGCGATTTACAGCAATGCTTTTTTTTAGTTTTTTTTTTTTTAGGGGGGTGGTGGCACAGTGGATAAGACACATGCCTTTGGTGTGAGAGACCTGGGTTTGAATCCACTGCGAGACACCAATGTGTCCCTGTCAGATGACATTTAAGGATGAAAATTCTTATGTTGGTCATACTTCCAAAAATAATAATCTGTGATTCTGAATGACGGTATCCACACCGGCGTGTGACTGCCACTGACAGCTGCACATTCTTCTTAAAAATTTGGATTCATCCGCCCTGTGCCATGCCGAGGTACAACTAATTCCGTGAATAACTGCAATTGCAGATTTTGAACAGAGATGGCGACAAAGAGGAAAAACTGCGGACTGCAGCTTTAAAGTCACTCTGGCTGTGTCCGAAATCGCGTACTATGTGAGTCGGTACTATATTTAAATAAGAACGTACTTTGCGACCGTTAAAAAAGTACAGTACGTTCTATATAGTATGAATGCGGGTAGTATGAATGAGTCCGGACGCACGACATGCGCCATGTTGTTGTCGCGTGACATACACTGTTACAACAGTGCGAAAATTTAAAGAGCCCATTCCAGTGACCGCACCAACTTCGCGCTGTTTTTAGTTCCGCTTTCTGTTTTCATCTGCGTTTTTATGTCGTCCGAGCCAACAATCAAGAGGAGGCGTCGGTCAGCTGCTCGCAGATCGCACCTTTTGCGGAATTTCTCAAATAACATTTATTTACCCTAATAAATTTTACCTCATAACACACACACAACCTATGAACAATGACAGAGGTTGATTTTTGGCAAGGAAAATGCCATTTATTTGCAATTGCTTGTGATATTACCATCGATA